TTTTTTTTATCTGGAATAAACTGTACAATTAATTGTTTAAAAGAATACCAATAATGTGCATTTGGAAAGTAGATATATCGAGTACTACAACACTGATAGTTACTCCTTTATTTCAGTTTAAATGAATAGAAATATCCAAGTCTTGACTGTCTTTAAAAATAAAAAAATAAAAGTTGAGTTTTTATGCTTCAAATAAAGCAATAGCAGTTGAATAATGATGCTAAACAAAGACTTTGCATTTTCATTGCAATTCAGTGAGAAGATAAGAGATCACACATCTAAATTTCACTTCACAGAGGATTGCCAATTAGTTCATGCACATTGCCATGCAACCTTTTGGCAAAGGCTTTTACTTCGTCTTAATGTCCTTCCTCAAAGCCAGCTTTTTTATTTGCACTGTAGGTAAAAATAACTCTTTAAATATGAAAATTGTTTGCAAAAATTGGGGAGAGCATGTTATACATTTTGTTTCACAATATATTGTGCCTATTATGCATCTCTCTTATATCTACAGGCAGCTCCAGTCCTCCTAATTCCATTGAAGATGGATATTATGAAGATGCTGAGAACAATTACCCAACAACTCAAGTGAACAGACAACGCAAAAACTCCTGTAAGCGGGAGAACCCTGATACTATAAATAGCGATGTCATGTCTCAGTAGTATTAGTATGTCATTACTCCTCCTGCAGATAATGACTCGGATGCCTTAAGCAGTTCTTATGAGTCATATGATGAGGAAGAGGAAGAGAAAGGCCAGCGTTTGACACACCAGTGGCCCTCAGAGGAGAACTCTATGGCCCCGGTGAGAGACTGCCATATCTGTGCCTTCCTGCTGAGGAAAAAACGCTTCGGCCAGTGGGCCAAACAGCTCACAGTCATCCGCGAGAACAGACTCCAGGTGAGCTGCCAAAAGCCCTAAGGGATAAAAATTAGCCTTGATTTTTCTTGATGATGTTATGAATGATACATGGAAACCTCTGAATGTTGTTTTATAGTGCTATAAAAGCTCTAAAGACCAGTCGCCCTATACTGACATACCACTTAGTCTGTGCACCGTCATCTACGTGCCCAAAGATGGCCGGAGGAAGAAGCACGAGCTCCGATTCTCTCTTCCCGGTGGAGAGGCGCTGGTGTTAGCCGTCCAGAGCAAGGAGCAGGCCGAGAAATGGCTCCAAGTAAACACAGTCCTTCGCTCGCACACTTGGATATCCATCCATTAAACGTACACACAATAGATGTATCCTGCTGCCAGAAACAATATTGCACAAGAGAAAAATTGCTTTTGTAAAAGGGACCCCCTGTGTGATGGACTATGTTTACACTTGTAGGGAACCACTGATGTGTGTGTATCTCTGTGTGATTGCAGGTGGTGCGTGATGTTACAGGTCAGGGGAATGGGTTGGACAGCCCATCTTCTCCCATGATTCCTAGGAAGATTGAACTGGATAAGGTGGGATTCCAGCACACATTTGTCTCATTCATGACTCCTGTGCATCTCATCTTCATTACTGACATATAAAGCGTGCCAATGATGGATTGGAGGAACTTTTGGGGATATGCTTTTTGTAAAAGGTGGTCTCATTGTGACTAGAGTTGGTTAGGAAAATAATTCCACCTGTTACATGTAAGATGAATACCTCATGACCTTTTCCTTGCAAAAAAAATAATTTTAAAATCATATTATTGCCAATTGTACATTGTACATGTCCAAAACCTTGTTAAGTACTTTTTGTAAGCATTCCAATTCTATGCTTACTTTACTCCTTATACTACTGTTCAAAAGTTTGGGGTTTGTAACATCAATTTCTTTCTTTCTTTCTTT